ACATATTAACCCAAAAGGTGTTGCTATAGCAATATTAACAGATAAAATTATTTCCCTTGCCTAGAAAATTGTCCTCATTTCCCAGGGCTTTTGTGTGTGTATGTGTGTGTGTGTCACCTCCTCAGAGAAGCCTTCTCTGATTATCTTAGGTAGAATAGCTCCCCCTATCCCTATTCATTATTATACTGCTCTATTACATTTTCTTCATGCAATTAGCTGGTCTCTGAAATCACCTTATTTGTTTGTTTACTGTTTTACTATCACTCCAGCCCCCGCCCCGCCCCTCCGCCCCCTCAGCTGCAATCTCTCCCTTCTGGAATAGAGCCTGCTGACACATAGTAGGCACTCAATAAGCATTTGCTGGTATCTCCCTGACTAGGCAGCCTGCAGTGCTCAGAGCCCCTCATAGAGGTACAGATGTCTCTCCTACAACAGATCACATTACTTGAGGATTATTATTATATCTGCACATCTAACAGATGCCAAAGAAATGGTTGTTACATAAACTATGACCTGCTGTGTGCCAGAAGTCTGAAACCCCGAGAAGCCACGTGATCAGCTAAAAACCACATCTTGTTAATGAAAGTGCCGAGTCTTGCCTGGAGGATCACTCTGATTCCCCGCAAGTGACCGCTGTGTCACATCCTATCATGCGTGGAGGCTGCAAATGAGGAGAGAAGACAACTTGGAAATACATTTCTCATCAAACTCAGTGTTTCTGTTACTGTTATATATGTACTAGCCTTTGCCAAATTTATTTAAATGGACTCAAATAAGCATTTCTTATGATAACTGCATGTCTATAAGAAATGCACTTTCCAATGAAAGGAACAAGGGATAGAGCTTAAAATAGTAGCTTGTTGACTCAAAACCAGCAGTGTGACTGTATTATCAGCCAAATGGTTAAAGCAGAAGGAATAACTGTGACTTCGGACAAGTTGTCTAGTGAGCCTAAGCCGCTTAGATGCTATCTCTATGAAATAGTCATAAGGCCAGGACTGGCTTCATAGCTTGCTATGAAGACTAATTAGATTAATCCAGTGAAGCACTGGATATAGTATGTGTCCCCATGCGCCTGATAAATGTCTCTAAGATTTCAGACTTGTGCACAGCCAACTCAATTACTTTGCATTCGTCGTTTGCAAGTTTTGCTCAAGAAACTGGTTTTCGATCATCTGCCTTCCGGAGCTCTTCCGGAGATGTAACACTGTTATGGAATGAGTCTTAAAGTTCCTTTGAATCTGATTAAATCCATTCCTTGTTAGAGCTGAGCTAGAACAATCCTGGCCAATGCCAGATGTATTTGTTGAATGGCCTTTTTACTGAAGATCTCAGGAAGACGAGGCTGCTGGAGGGGCAGCCAAGATGACAGCACTGATTAGCAAAAGGGGCATATTGTCTGGCACATTCTTCTCTGACCTAACCCCCCTCCTGCCTCAGAAGGAACTATTCTAGAGTGGAAAGTTTCCACCACAAACATCTGCTCGCCAGATCTGCCCTGACACTGTAGCCACTGGTGAGCGCCATCAGGCATTCGGGGGTTTTTTTCTTTGGATTGGGAGCTATTTGACAAAGGCACAACCAAACTTCACATGTATCGTGAGCGACAGGAGCAGCACATTTTCGATGGGGACTCCTTTTCAAGATCAAACAATTTTGCACACCCCTCCCCCCAAGTAATAGTATTGCTCTTGTCATTTGAATCAGAAAAACACCTGATGATGAAAAGCTACTAGGAATTCAGTAATGTTTTAAAATGAATTATTAATTTAGAAATCTCAATACTATATACACATAATCAGAAATTGTCTCACGTATATTTATGCGGCATTGTGTGGGTGGGGGTGGGGCATTGAACTGTTTAGCATGGGCCGTGGCCTCTGCCTTTTATTTTTTATTTTTTTAAAATATATTTTATTGATTTTTTACAGAGAGGAAGGGAGAGGGATAGAGAGTTAGAAACATCGATGAGAAACACCAATCAGCTGCCTCCTGCACACCCCCTACTGGGGATGTGCCCACAACCAAGGTACATGCCCTTGACCGGAATCGAACCTGGGACCCTTGAGT